CGGCTAAATTAACTCGTCCCTTCCATACCAACTTACTTAACACGCCTTACTTAATTGGCTTTGGGACTTTTGGTTACGGTTTAAGTTAAACCGCAATAGGAGTCAAACTCAACTTCATTCCCCTAAGCAATGGAAGCATTATAGCCTACGGGGTAATAGGACTTTTTTCGTTGCATATTGGCAGGCTTGGTAAGAGAGATAGGTCAACTTCACTCAATCCCCCCTGCAACATGCGGCAAACAACTGTGAGGAGCCCGTCGGTGGTAGCGCGTACTTATTTCGAAGTTATTGTTTTATGAGCGAATTTAATTGTGTTTTTTTCGGAAATGTATTGTTATTTTCTATTTTGTTTAACATTTTCATCGTTGTACCGTGATTTGACGAAAAACCTTTCAACGAATGTACCAAGGTGGATAATTTTAGAAAGTGAAATAAGTAAAAAATATTCACGAAGAGAAGAGAGAGAATTGTCCACAATGATATCCTGGCTGAAGTGGCGATGATTATAGAAGTAAGCTTCCTTGGATACAATATTTATTAAGTTGGTTTGCTTCAAACATTTCATAAGAATAAATAATCACTATAAACATCAGTAATTGAATCAGAATTTAATTCTTTCTTGAAAATTATTTTAGATCACCTTAATTTTGCACATATTATAGTACAAAAATTATTATACAATCTAACTTTATGCAAATTAGTGTTAATGGAAAATTAAAAACGACTTGCATATAAACATATTTACATCGGCTATAAAAGAGATGCAGATTTGTATATATTACCAGCAGGGTTATATATTATTTTGTGTTGCGGTTAGTCCTCGATTACATCTGAAAAACTCAATGGCCATTTCCTTTATTTTTCAAGGCGAAGTCTAGCCTCTCAATGAAAGAAACTTGGCAGTATTTGAATGAGTGTTTAAGAAATAATTCTGGAATTTGGTCTTGTATGGAGGAAAGGAAATTATTGTGTACTATAGGCCTATATGGATCTCCAAAATTAAAAGTATTTTCTGCCAGATTGTATGAAAAATAAAAACTGAAGACAAGTGTGAAATTGAGTGAAGAAAAGTGACTGTACAGAATATTTCAAATACGTGCAGTGCTCTATTATTCTGAGAATTTCTATTATTGAAAGTTTCATTAGTCTGTCCCGTTTAATCTGTTAAACAACTTTTCAGTTTGATACTTTCTCAGTATTTTGGAGAAGTATCCTTGTTTATTTATAGAAAATAATTAATGTGAAGTAATATTTGTTTCATTGTTGATTCTTCTGTGATGTAAGCATTGCATGTTATGCAATACATATCATGGAGTAAATAAAAAAAAATCCTTCAAATTATTGTCTTTAAAATTAAAATTCTTCACATTTTAAAATTGCCTAAGACAACTTTGGTGTTAATTTTATCAATCTTAATTGAATTCTCAGTATATGTTTCCTATTGTGTCTGTAAAGAGCCTATATTGAAGTCATATGTCGGTGTTTAATTTTACTGAATATAAAGTCTGAATATTACACATACAATAAACCATTAAATGTTACAAATCATTTCAAAAATATTATTTTTTAAGGTGCCCTCAATTAATATTAACTGAACAACATAACACACTACCATTAAAAAAAAATGTTTTTCCATGAAATTTGATCCAAGTTTACACGGAAGACTTCTGAAATTATTGCGAGTTTTTCAAAAACCATTGTAAATTAATGATACTAAATTCTGAAGTAGAAACTGAACTGAATTCAAAAGAAAACAGATTATCAGGGAAGTGATAAAGGTAATTGGCATTCTAGTTTTATTTTAAAATGTTTCTTAATCTTAAACAGTAATAAATAGGAAGCCTGAAGGTTGTGTAGGGTGTAACAATATTTTACCACAAAATTAATTACAAATATATAATTTAAATGTTGTTCAAGGAAATGGCATATGTAATATCAAAATCAACAATGAAAATAATTATCTTTCAATAAATTTTATAATTAAAAAGAAAATTCTGTTCCTGGCATTTACTTAATTTCTATTAGGCTGCAGTTTATTCACTAATAAAAAAACTACAATTGATATAGCATTTAAAAAATTAAAAATAAATACATTTTACAATTTGTTATAAAATGATTCTGTCCCTGAACTGCAACCACATTGGGAGGGTGACCATGGATAGCAAGCACATAAGAATTAATCATCCCAATCAATATGGGTAAATGTCTCACAACTATAACACAACACAAAGAAATTATATTCTAGTTTTATAAGGTGTTGAGGATGCAAATTACAAATCCATTAACAGATGATGTGGGTAATTATGGCAAACAAAATTATGAGGGTAACTTCTAAGGGTACGTTTAAGTCGGAGCAGCGACAAGAGCGAAGCAACGAGAACGTCCTCATGGAATCAAATGGAAGTGGTCAAGTCGGTAGCGCGCTGATCACGGCATCAGCGCTGCGACCAGCGACAAAAGGGAAGAAAACCCTTTGGTAGGTTTTCGCTGCTAGTATCGTGGTTCCGACACACTTCAGATGTTGTGTCGAATAAAATGATTGCTGAGAATTTGATCAGTTGTGTTTTTGTTTGGAGTCAATTACGGGACAAAAGGGGCACAAATCACTCAATAGGTTCGTTTTAGACAAATTGTGGGCTCCGTAAATTAGTACAACACGTATTTTGGAGGTTAGGTTACATTCGTTTTTCAATGAACAACAAAAATACAAATAATCATTGACTCATTTTTTATTGTTATATTGTGTAGTGTAAAACTAAATGTTAACTTCAGTAAAACATCATCATCTGGCGGTGAATGTTTTATTCAGAGTCATTTTTTATATTGTAGATACTTAGCCCGGGGTCATCATGGTCTGCTATGTCATTGATTGTAGATGCAGTACACGGGCAGCTGCGAGATATTTACATACGGCACATGCATCGTTCGAAACAACAGATTTGAACAAAGAATTTTTCCCTTTTCGAATGCACATGGGAAATTTTACTGCCTAAACGTACGCAATCCTTAAACACCAGTGACTAGTCCGCGTCCGCATTTCGTATTCAATCGCAGGCTAGAATTACAGTTTTGAATTCAACGTCACGGTGATATCGGCGCCTTGTTCAGCACAAGAGGGAACTTTGGCCGCAGAAGGTCGTTTTGCGACCAGCGGGATCCGGCGTTTGTAGCTTCGGCGGAAGGGAAATCAGCGAGGGCGCGCCCGCGGCGAAGGGAAAAAGACTGTCCGCCCCGCACACGGAAACCATGGGTGGCAACAGCTGCCAAAGCCATCCACCACCACCGCCGCCGGCGCCGTCGTCAGCCCAATTACTACTATTACATATTATACAAAATCTTTTTTCCCTAGTCCACCTCTCCTCTCTCCGTTCTTGGACATTCTAGGACAAAGGCGCGGGGGAGAGCCATTTCTAAGGGAGCGCGCGTAATTCAATTGGCTTCTTCCCGGCCACTTGCCAATTTTTAACGCACGATTTCCTTCAGACCCGGCGACGCGGTGGCGAGACGTTGCGACCACGTGACACCTGAGGCTTGGGGCGGAGCGGAGCGGGGCGGGGTAGGGCAGGGCGTGGCGGAACCGGGCCATGCTGCTAAGTAACTTTCCATGTCGGGCGCTGCCGAGGGCAAAGCCGCCACGGTACGGCGGCCCGTCTTTGGCAAGGCCCAAAACCTACGGTAAAGATGAAATGCGCTCCCTTCCGTGACGAAGTGGATTGCGGAAAATTTCGAGGGTGATTGCATGAAGACAGAGACGATGTGGAATTTAGACACCCCAAAATCTTGTGACTAGCGTCCGATAATGAAGCATTGTCCCACCATGTACGTTAAATGAAACCTAGTACTTCTAACAAACCTATTATCCTAAGTACGAGAACTCAATCCCCCGTTTATATTTCCTCCAGTAGCATCACTTCTCCAGGTACGTATTAATAAATAAACGTCAGAATGACGTAAACATTTTATACTCTAATAATTTATTAGTTTGTGCATTTGTTGAGTATGTCAAAGGTGAAAAGTTTGGGAACAGTTTTAATTCGTACAATCAAATCAAGCTACAAGATGATGAAATCTATTGTGTCATACATTCTTAATGAAATACAATTACAGCATTTTTAATATGAACTAAACATCAAAATTGAGATTTATTTCAACGCTCTTTCAACACATCGAAGAAAGGACACGACTTGAGAAAAATTTTGCATTTGTACCAAAATAAACTCCCCCACATAAATATATCTCATTGTATAATGACGCGCGCAAAACTATCAGGCAGATTATGAATCTGAAGAAATAAATAGCTTCAGCACAACTACATGCCCAACAACACGACTGTCTTTTCGGAAGATCGTAGGGCACTCTTCTCGAAACTGCGTTGCTCGCTGATAAAAATGGCGCTGTGAAACAAAATAAGAACAATCCTTAAAAAGAGGCACATTTGTTATGCGATTTTGGGACATACAAGTGTCATTAATAAGAAAGTATTTTTGACCATAAAACTCTCTAGCATTACGAGAGCAATGTTTCATGCAAGCCTAAAGCTGACAATGGCCATCTCTCCAGTCCGCAGTGCACCGTCACAAGACGGATGCGTCACCTCGCCCGAGGCCGTTCGTCCGAGTTCACAGTCAGGATCTCCCTCCGATCTCTCTTTTTCCCTCTCAGTTCCGCCATTCGCCCCGAGGACACAAGGAATCGAAGCGCCGCAAATGCAAAACCAACGAGCTGCTTGCAACGACTATATACTTTCAGCACGAAGCCGGCTGGGCGGTTCTCCCGACAAGATGAATGGGTATGGCGGTGGTGGTTGCCGGCCGGGGGCGCGGCGGGGCAGGTGCTGTTACAACGCCCGCCGGCACGGAAAGCGAACAAACCGGGATATGGGAGGGGGCGGAACCGGCCGGCCCGCCGCCGCCTCCGCTATCGATCGTTCGGCGGCGCAACGGCGCGCGCGCCGGCTTGGGGCAGGTTTGCGTCTCCTCCCCACGTGTGTGAGTCATCACCGCTGCTGCAGCTACTCCGCTGGCGCCGTCTGGCGGAGGGCTCGGGTTCGCTGGACCTGCGTTGTCCGGTGGGCGCCGCCATGGGCGACCGGCCGCGACTCCGCCACCTCCTCCCTCAGCGGTGCCATTCTGCGTGGGGACGGAGCCGTTGCAGCCCTGGTCGAAGAGGCGCTGTCGGTGCGCCAGGCGGTCCAGGCTGGCGAGGCGGAACGAGCCGCTGCTCGTGTATTTAGGCAGCGTGGGCGGGGGCACGGCGCGCGCCAGGGCCACCTTCTCGCCGCCGGTCGTGCCGCGCAGTAGCCCCGAACTACTCGTGTACATGTAAGAGCCCGGGGTGGCCGTGACAGCACCGCCGGGGGCACCGCCCACGCGCGTGCTGGGCGACGACATGCCGTTGCTCGAGGAGCCGCTCATCGTCCACGCCGCGCACCCCTGGCCCTGGCCGCCGCTGCCGCACGGAAGCAGCGCCGCTGCGCCGGCTCCACACGCTCACACGACTCTCCGTCCCTTCTTGCTCCGCTCTCCTGGCGCGCCGCCGCGCAGTGCCGCTCCGCTCGGCACAGCTCCTCTCCGACCGACACCGCCGCACTCGACTGCCTGGCCGTCCGTCGTCCACTTGCGTGTACCTTGGCCACTGCGCGCTTTCGCTCTCACGCAAGCGCTCGCGAGAGACCCGGCACAAGCTAGACCTTGGGTGTCGACCGCGCCATGCTGCACGCCCAATGGAGGATCCGTGAGACTCTCCGCTGATGACGCACACTACGCATCTGGTCGCCAGTCGCGCTGCCTTCTCGCGCGCGGCCAGAGTTCCCCGGTGCCTCGGGCAAGACGGCGAAGGCCCCTCGTGACCGTAGCGACTCCCAGCGGCGTTCGCCGGAACTACGCCGATCCATACAACGATTTTCCCTTCGTCACCGCTTTTGCCGAATAGCAGCCAAACGCCAGACGGAGGATGTGTCAATTCTCCAATGAATCGTAATTAACTTTTCCATGCGAAAACAAGTGTTCTAGAATAATGGGTGAGCGAGTAGAAATTCACATATTCCAATTACATATCCTATTACAATCTACGGAAAAAAAAATACCGGTACCGCAAATCAAATTTCAACTACAAAAATACGCGGACGCATTCACCACCGAGAATAAAAACAGACGACAGGAAGGATTGACGTCAAAATGGCGGATATCCAACGTTCCCAAAAATTCCAATCACCCACCTGTACAAACGTACGTTTTCTCCGCGAGATCGCTCTTTTTTCGGCGGGAATCGATTACTCCGTCGTCGCGGCGCTCGCGCCATCTGTTGCCCGCGCGGCGAAGCGCACTGGTGCCGCAGCATGCCGTGAGAGGCGCCACCGCGTGGCGACTGTTGCGCGGGATTTCAAATAGAACAAAAGGCGCCGGCGCAGGACGATACGGCTTGGCGTGGGCACGTCCCGTCGCCGAGCCGTAGCCTTCGCTCGCTCGCCCGCCCGCCCGCCCGCGCCTTCGAGCGCGAGAGACCAGCCTCAAGGTCGTCGCGCACAGCGGACACGTAATCCGCCAAACGGCGGAGAGTATAGACTCTTGCAAACACCGGACCAACGACTCCCTTATTTACATTTGAGGCGGTGGCGGCGGTGACGCTGGGGAACAACTTGCGGGATGATCCTTGTTCTGCCAACTGGATTTGACTTGCGACGGGTCGTTTATTTATTTATTTGTTTGTAGAGAGTCTTGAAATCCTGGAACGTTTTAATAGTAGTAATCCTCCAGTAATAAAACTTTCACAATTCTTACCAATAAGTTTTTTTTTTTTTTTTTTTTTTTCATTTAGAACCCAGAGGTTCCCTCCTATAGTTAACAGCTGATTGTAGAAGAGAAAGACAATCATGTCTATAAGGTAACAAAATTAATGCACGTACTTATCATTTTCACACATGTAATGCAAACATAAAATTGTCTTTCCATGAAATTTTACAGTTCAGAAATTACATATGTAAATTAACGACTGACATTTCTGAAAGGTAACCATGAATTAACTGTTTAGCGAAGTACTTTTTCTGAAATTATATTTCTGTTGTGTGTTTCACGATATTGGTAAATAACTTGAAACTCTTATCTTTGATAGTTCAGACGGAGATTATTCAACATCAAGTGAACTTCGTACTTGAGATTGCGATATGAGGGGAAGGATAGACCAATCATAAATTGGGGAAACCACAAATAACGAGTGACTGCTAACATAGGCGTCCGCAAAGAGGAGGGTAGGGAGACCGGGGCCTGCTGAATATTTTCGAAGGGACCCAGTAGTCGTATAATAAAACATTTTATTTCCCTAAATATTTTCAATTCCTAATTTTCCACTTTTTAACCTGACAATTACATATATTTAAAAGTTTAGTTTAGACCGGATTAGAAAAAAACAAGATCATTTGCGACCACTTATTTTTATGCACAAGTAACGTTTTAAAAATTAAAATAAATAAAAATTAATTACAATTTACGTTAATTTAACCAACCCAGTAAACTAAAAAAATGGTTATGCATTTGTCTAGACTGTACAGGTCATCTAGCATCATGTAAATGGTTCAATATAAAATCACTTGTATTCATTTAAAATACACTATAGAGAGACTTATAATATAACTTATTTATTTTAGTAAAATATGTCATATACATATATAAAAAATTTCAATGGGAAAGGGACCGCCAGCTGAGTTAGCTCTGAGTCAGCATTGCCGCAGTCTCTACAACTACTCAGACCGTGAGGTCCTTCAATTCGCGTCCCGGCGGTGGCGGATTTTCGGTTTAAGTTGAAGAGCTAGGACAAATTCAGCTGTTGTCTGGAGAAATTCCAGTGGCCGGCTGATGTCATCGGAAGTTTTCCATGGTTTCTCCAATAAATACCAGGCTAATGTTGGAGCAGTACCCTAACAAACGAGCCATGGACGGCGCGCAATATTACCTTTCCACAAACTAACACTTTCACTCCACTACCGTTAATCTTGGATCTCACCATCCAGCGGGTAAAGGAATCATCGCCACCTTCCAGAACAAAGTACTCACTACGATAACGAGACTAATGACCAAGGCAGTCGCCGTGCTCGGAAACTTCACTCAAGAGGGCCAGAAATGTAGCGCCCGCCCCATTGTTTTAGATTGCGCACACCTATGCTGATACACAATCCTAAACCTAACTCCAAACTTAATTCACAAAGCACATACATAACTAACAATTCATTTTAATTAAATTAAAGATATTATTCCTGAAGGAGTATCATTATCATCCCTTGGACACAGAGGCGACCGTTAGAGCTCACATTATGTAACGAGGTTCATATTCCGTTAGCAGCAAACGAACCCTCTTTTTATGTGACTTCCTTTGGAGATGCGCACCAGAGCTACACCATAGTCTTCCGTGCTGAGAACAGGTTGCTACAAGATGCAGAGCGGGAGGAAGTCGAGGGGGCTTATCTAAAATTACATAGTCGCCCGTGTGGGCATCAAGTAACACTGCACGTCATACTAAGTTATATTACGACCGACGCCACCCAACCCAGAAGAAGTAATTCACCCTCCCGGCAAAAAATGACCAAAACAATTAATACATTGTAAAACCGTAATGGGTGTATGAGAACGCAGAAGCTGGATCGCAACTGAATCTTCGTACACCGGGAAGACCCAGGTTCGAGTGAGGACACCGAATTTAAACACCTGCTAAACCCTGTATCGAAGCTGGCCATTGAGTGAAGATTCTATGAAAAGAGGTTAACTCTTCTAACCGACCATTCCCGTGTTTTGCTTTCATCAATTCCAGGCGAATGTAGTATACATTAAACAACGGGGAGCGAGGGACCCTCAATCCAGTCCTTAGTTCCATTCTTGGGATGGGCGTTGGTTTGATACCCTATCCCCAATGATCTTAAACGATTGATTTCGATAACTATATCTTATTCATAGTAATAATAGTATACTATCACCATTGCAAAGAATCTCGATATCTAACTACAATTACTTCTAAATATGTTTAGTTCGTCGAGTTTTGATAGGTCGAAATTTAAAATAATACTATTTTCTTCTACCCTTCAAATTCGAAATACTGTCAAATTTTGCACTATAAATCCTAACCTGAATTATAGTGCAATCAATTGAGGATAACGGCATTTTATAAAGTCATTAACATCATTAACTAATAAATAGAAACCCGATGCAATATTTTTCATTAATTCTTAAAACAAGGGAAACCTAACGCAGAGGTCACTTTTAATGACTACGTAATAATTGTGACATATCCTCAAAATTATATTAATAGCAATAATAATAATAATAATATAAACACAGGCACCCAAAAAAAAGTTGCCAGTCCCCAAAACATGACACATGTTTCTTTATGTACGTCGATGCGCTGAATCCCAATCATGGAATTGTAAATTTCATGGTGTTTTTTTGCGATTAAGAAAACAAGGTGGTGGTGGCGCAATTCTGGCTTCATATTCCAATCAGCATGTACTATTCCCATACATAGAGAAACATGTGACATGCGGGTCTGACAAGGGTGTGTGTGTGTGTGTACTTTTTTTCATGGTGAAATTCAGGCCATTGAGCCTGCTCTTCCGCTCACCACTTGGAAAATTAAGATACATTATACTACACACTGGCATACTGTTAGTTGATAGTCTGTAGATGGAACCTGCCTTTCCACCACTCCGTAAATATAATTTTGATCGCGGCTAATTTGGAAGCAGAACCTGGAACACAGTTTTCAGGAATAAAATTCTGGAGATTTGCCATCGCTTTCCGGCCTGGGCGTCGCACGGAACTCCAGTGAGCAAGCAAGCAAGATAATGCTATCTTCAGTCTCGAGTAAAGAGAACTATGGCCTCCCAATTGCGACACCAAAGACAACTCTCGGCACCAAGTAACGTCAGTAACGAATTGAGTATTACGACATATCAAATCATAGTTTACAACAACTCTAAAAATTGAAACACTTTTACATAATACAAATAGATAAATTGTTTATCAAACTAACAATAATTCCTCCTGGTTTCATATTTCACAACTTAAAACACTTGGATTATTGTTTTTTTGTTAGAAAACACACACTCTCTCACACACACACACACGCGCACACACACACACACACGCGCACACACACACACACGCGCACACACACACACACGCGCACACACACACAGCTACACACAACGCGCTACAACACATCACTACGCGCACACCGTGCTGTCACACACACAACACACGTCGCCACACACGATTCTATGCGTCGATGTGGTGTCATACACTCAGCACAGCACACGCCACTTCACACACCGCAACACTCACACACACGCACATTCAACACCGCACACTAGCGTCTTGTTTAGCTAATGGTAACACAACTCGCATACACGACGCACACTCAGAGAACTGCACAACACAGCTCTTACGTACTTCTGTGTCCTCTTAAGGGTACGCTATCAACTTGCACTGCACGGATCACACTGGCACAATGTGGCCCACGCACCTTCCACTTGTCTACACAGCAAGGTCGATCACACAACGCAGAGTCACAACATTACAACTCGAAAGGTGAATACATTAGGACTTTCGCACACTCTCCCACACTCAAACACTTTCGCACACAAACAACCGCCAAAACCTAATCAAACACTCTCGCAAAACACACGGCAACCTCAACTTCACACATCCGCAACACCACACGCCAAACCTCCCACATCCAACTTCTCCTTAACCAACAAGAGTACCTACTCTTAAACACAACCGCAAAATCCACTCACACTCAACTTTCTTTAATCACCACGCCACAACCTCACATCCACAACTCCATCTGAAAACAAACGGCCCAACACTCACACTGCACCTCTTTCTAAACCACACACGCACATCAAACTTCAAACACTTTCTCTAATCTACACAGCCACAACTCTTACACTCACTAATGCTTCTAAAGGCACACGCGATTCTCAGCGTTTACCTGATGGTGTGGCCTACAAGTGCGTGTGTTCTGTCCCACATGGTGGGTCCAGTGACCTCGACCTCACCAGTACATTGTTCACAACACTCCAAACAGACCAACAACACTCCTCTAAACAACACCCTGCGTGTACGCACACTTTTCCAGCTTACCAAAAATCATCTCTCTTGAACACCACGTCGACAATAAACTCACCCTCGAAACACTCCTCCTAACAAAACACGGCACACTCAAACTTCACCTCTCTTAACACACCAGCAAAAACAAACTCATAACGTCCAACTACTTGCTCCTCCTTAACGACAAACGCGCAACACTCACAGTGCTCCTTCCCTCTAAAACACCACGGCTTATACCACTCCCACATCCAACACTCTTTAAGGACACTATCAACGCCAACACTCTCCCAGACTTCGCTTTCTAGAACAACACGCAAAGACAAACTCACACTCTCCTAGACCACCGCTGACACTCACACTCTTCTTACACACAGCAAACAACTCACACTTTCTAGCACACAACGCACCAACTCACACTCCTTCTAACAGCATTCCCGCCAACTTCTACACTCTTCTAACAACAACGGCAACTCCATCTCTAAAACCACGCACGCAACAACTCCAAACTCTTGGTAACACGAAGCTGATCCTTGTCTGTGACGTGCTCGACAGGCCAACTGGTCAACAACCAAAACACTCTCTTAAACACACACGCAAAAACTTCCACACTCTCTAACAACAACACGGGCGACACTCAACTCTCTAAACCACGAACAGCGTCGGCAAGGTCCACGCACTCTCTAACCACACGCAACAACTTTCCACCACTCTTCTTTAACATAGAGCAGCACGCGGAACTGTCGGACGACTCTCAACACAAAAGCCGCAAAAACATACTCCAACAACTCCTCTAACACACACGCACACTCAACTCTCTACACACACGGCCAAAACTCACACCTCCTCTAACACACACGCAACACAACACTCTTCTTAAACACACCAAACGCCCAAACACACAACTCTTCCCTAACACAACACGCACACAACAACTCTCTTAACAAACACGCACAAACACCAAACTCTCTAACAACAACACGCACACACACAACTCTAACACAACGCACAAAACACAGGGGCACTCTAGACACACACGGGGCAGACAACCAAATATCCTTTAAAACAACAAACGCCCAAAACGGTAACACCTATACCAACGCATGCCCGAAACACAGCCGCAGACCACAACACGCACGAACACAGCTACTAACCAGTCAGCGCTCACAACACACGAGTCTGGCTAGGGACAGATCACAACGCGCACGAGTAACACAATCACTCTGCAACGGTACACACGCACACACACCTCTAACACAACAGGCCCAAAAACCACCTCACTTCTAACCCAACAAACACGGCACAAACGCCTCTCTTTAAACAATGGTGGTGATTTTGTTATAAGCGGGTGATTGCGTATGTTGTGTGTCTGGGGGCACACACGAACTAATACCTCTGTTAAGAATGACATCAGGTGTGGACGGCTACGCTAAAAACACCAGCACACTCTTGAGACGTGAACGGACAAATGGGGTGATGTGATGGGCGTGAGGTGCTGTGTGTATGGCGAGATGGTCGGTGAGAGGTATAAAGCACGGCACATCCTAAGCCGGCGCGGTGATGAGCGCCATAGGCAACGAAACAGGCCCACTCCTAATGGCATTGTCGAGGACTGGGTGTAGGTAAGTATAGTATGGGTCACGCCAAACACCACACAACATCTAAACACACACGCACACAACACCATCTAACACAACACGCAACACTCCACAACACACACACCTCTAACACACCAACGCAACACACCACAACTCTACACACCGCAACACAACCACACTCTAACACACACGTCTAACACAGCACACAAACACCCAACACACACGACTTCTACCAACGCACAACACACACTTCTAACACACACGCACAACACATCCACTAACACATCACGCAACACACACAACTCTAAACAACACGCACAACACACACCACTTAACACACACACACACAACACACACACACACTATAACACACACGCACACACCACTCTAAACACAGGCACCACACTCGACACTCGCACACACACTCTAAACACACGCCACACACATTACACACACGCACACACACCTAAACAAACAACCTCACACCCACGCAACTACACACACGCACACACACTCTAAACACAACACACCTAACACACACACTCTAACACACACAAACCACTACTACACACAACACACATCCCACACAAAACTAAACAACAACACACACACTAAACACAACAACACACAAACAACACACAACACACACCACACACACGCACCACAGAATACATGGATTGAAAGGGCCATGACTCCATGGCTTGATCATGACCCAAAGGACTTCCTCCTTTGAAAATGTGAGGAATAAAAAATAAGTATTCCGCAATAAATATAATGTATTTGAAATGCAGACAATGCTAAATTTACTTTAAACACATTTTACAATTTTTCTTAAATGAAAACTATTAAACATCACTTCGTTAGTATTACTAGTAATACCGTCGTTTAATTTTTTAAAACAATTTTAAACATGTATTGCAAATTAAAAGTAATATTTCATATTACAGTTAGCAACAACCGCCAATAATTTAATTCAAACGTATTCCGCTTAATTGTTAAAAAATACTTCCCTCTGGAGTTTGGAATTATTTTCTATAGACCGCCCTTGGGGGGTCCGTCAACCACACTTGCATTCTCGAACGTGTTTAAAGGAGCCTCTTGCTGTGCGTGCGGAGCACCGCAGGCCGAACACAGGCACTTCCGTCCAGCTTTTCGCACAACCAAGAAATAACCGCGCCACATCCCGCTGCGTGTGCGACCGGTAATTACAAAAGGAAAGACGCACGCCTGTCACGGAAAAACTGCCTTCGACAACCGGACAAAATACAGCGAAGAAACCAATTAATGTGCATTGCCAAGAATAGATGCACGGAAACGCACAAAGGAATAATTTGAAAGAACACAAACACCCATTAGGGAGAGGTAAGATATTTTTATGGTTTTTGTATTACTTAGCAAAACCTATTGTTCCAATATGCTTTGTTAATGACTTAGAGAAAAAACTCATTAAAGTAAGATTATACGTACGCTTCCGCGGCTCAATCCATAAATTTTCCACTATCCGGGAAACACCGCGTCTCCCGGATAGCCGAGAATTCATTAAAAATAAATTAAATTCATTTCGAAAAATTTGTAATTATTCTAAAATGTTAATATCGGTCAGAACCAAAAAAGCTGTTTACCTGCGATAATTACATTCTATGTTTACGGCAGATTACATTCTGGGATTATGCTTACACTTTGCTGGCATATTTTGTACACAGTAATTTTAATTTTATACGGATTGAGAGGTGTGGCCTTTTCAAAGCCTATGAAAATTGGTTACATTTCTTCATTAATTTTGCCTGTAATGTTCGTGGGGAAATGAAACTATTAGTAAAGCTAAATACTCGAATGTTTTTGGAATCTACTCAATATTCAATTTTTTTTTAATGAACATTACGTTAAATTGTTTTTGTCCTGCTTTAATTATTGGTCAATTAATGCTATTAAATAAACTATCAACGTTCAATGCGAAACAAACTTTTTTTTGTATTTCAGCTATGTATAAAAAGAACCTTTTCTTCGGTCATTTTTGGGGCAAAATATGATGACTTATTAGATTTTATGTCACGATGATTGCGTCATCACACACATTCAGCGAATTCGTGCGAGAATATCGGGGGAGTAAAGCTAAACGGAACAGCCGACCCGTATCCGTTTACTCGCACCATGTCAAATTACCAAGTCGTCACAGGAAGTTTGTTTCCGCAAAAAATTAAGTTTTGATTCTATTGTAAATGTTAAAAATGTCTGTTCTCCAAAAAAAATATATGTTAACTCTTTATAATGTTGCTTTATTACATTCGTACATTTTGGAAACTCGTTCTAAAGTCCGTCGTTTTCAAAACATGTACTCATGTAATAAAGCTTTAACATTATAAACTTAATTGCAAACTACTCTTTCAAAACGACGCTGAAGGTTATTACATTCGACCTTTGTTTCGGTTCAGTGAATGTAACCCTTCAAAATCATTTTATTGTCTTTTTTTTGAAAGTACAAAAGAATATTCCGAACTACAAAGCAATATCCAAAAATGATCAATAAAGACTCGCGATTCAAGGTTTGCAAGCTTTTACTATGGAAACAGTCGAGCGTAAAATTTTTTCCCCATCTGCTATTTTTCTTTATCAGGTCGTATCATACAGAATTTTCGAAATCTCCCGTTTTATTTCAATACATCCTCTGCATGAAGCTAAAACGCGCAAACATGATTTAAGTGCCTCCCACGCTTCTATCCTCTATTCGAGACCTCTTACCGCCATATCTTCACATGCGCCTCATACACAAAAAATACAATACTTACTCTATGAAATGTCCAAACTATCAACTAACGTTTTGTAATAATAAAAGTCGTAAATAAATCTGAGACATGAAGAAAGAGCAAAAATAATCTGAGTAAACAAACACATGACAATCAATGTAAAACTGTTTTGCTGAGCAATAAAAAATGGGGAAATTAGCAAAGTGAACCAGCTTTTAGTAACAGACCGAGGATAAAGTTTTTCCTCAGAATTATAACTACAAAGAACAAACATCTTATTCATTCGCGTGCATGCCAGAACTTCAACACCAGCGACCTGCAAGATAAACGAAGCATAACTGACCAGAACAGAACATCTCTAACAGCGCCGAGACCACCGAAGTCGTACTGCGGCCAAGACGTTCGAACGCGCGGTGGCCCGACTGCGGAGCAAGGAAGCTTTGCACCGCGAGACACAAAACAACGATAATCAAGCTGACATCAGGCTGTCCCACGTCCCGACATCGTTTGCTCAGAGCACACAGCGCAACCGTTACACACGTCCTTGCCTAGGCGTCGCGGCCGTCCGCACCCGCGTTCACTGCCCACAGATTTCCAAGACGTTTAAATCCGGAAAGACTCGTCTTCCAGACGGCTGAGCGTTTTCCAATTAATATTACGAGCAAGATCCAGCCCGGAAGGCCAGCCGGGGCGTGTTATAACGGCGGTTGGATGCAAACTTACTGAAAACTAATTTAATAAGATCCCACTC